TGCACTTGAGATGAGCGTAGGGCGGCGTATGGCCGCGTAGTCCCATAGAGAAGGACGGGGACTGCGTAATAATCACACGCAGCACCTGTCCTTCCCGGCAGCTGCCACGGAGGTGTACGTGCCGGCCGATTCCAGTGTGAATGAGGCCTAAAGGACGAAAAAGGTGAACATGAGGATTTTATTGAACAACAAAATGCCGTTTATGACGCACGGAGCGCACTGGATGTCACCCGCGTCAGGCTTACATCTACTTCAATGGGATTGTCTCCATGTTAAAGGAGAACTATGGGGTCAGGGCTTTTCCCCATAGTTCTCCTAAGGCCCCGTTCCCACTGCACGATATGCAAATCGCGCGTTTGTCGCGGTCAAGCTTGCATTGAGCAAGCTTGAATCGCGGCTAAATCCGCTCCAAAAAGGGTCCTGCTGTAGCGACACACGACCCGCGACAGCAGGACCCTTTGCCACCATTGGATTGCATTGGAGCACGATATCGCGCGGTAATTTGCCGCGATATCGCGGGAATTACCGCGCGATAAATCGCTCAATGTGAACGGGGTCTAAGGGTAACGGGAGGACACAAACTAGCGTCCTCCCGTCACCCTAGGCTCAGTATATAGGGAGCTACAGCTCATTATATACTGAGGCGCCGCAGGTGAAGCGGATGCCGACAATTGTGCCGGGATCCGCCCAGCTGCGTGACTGACAGCTGGATCTGCCTATCTAGAGGGAGAGCCAGCTGTACCCGCCCCCTCCCCCCTGCCAGTCAGCGCTGGAGGATAGGAGCGGGGAGGAGCAGTAGAAGGGGGTGGAGCAGTAGAAGGGGGTGGAGCAGTAGAGGGGGTGGAGCAGTAGAAGGGGTGGAGCAGTAGGAGGGGTGGAGCAGTAGGAGGGGTGGAGCAGTAGAAGGGGTGGAGCAGTAGAAGGGGGTGGAACAGTAGAGGGGGTGGAGCAGGGTGGCTGGTTCTCATGTTTGCGTGCATTCACACTGATCCCTCTGCTCCCTACAGAGATAAAGTCATCGGTGATGATGGGACGGGCCGGAGCCATTCAGGCCGCTCTATCCCTGGAGATCAGCAGTGAGGTCATCACCAGCTTCGATGTCGTGCTTGAGGGACTCAATGGACAACTGCCCAACCTAGACATGGTCAACCTGTTCCTGGCCTTCTGCCAGAAGAACCAACTGCTGTGCACCATCCAGGGCAAGGTGAGTCCCCTGTGACCTCTGACCTCCTACATCACTGAATCCTCTCCCTTATGCCCCCTCCCCCATAACCTCTGACCTCATCACTGTATCCTTCAATCCTCTCTGTGACCTCAGACTTCATCAATGCACCCTCCAATCTTCTCCCTTATGACCTCTGACCTCATCACTGTATCCTTCAATTCTCTATGACCTCTGATTATTATTATACAGGATTTATAGAGCGCCAACAGTTTGCGCAGCGCTTTACAATATAAGGAAGACATTACAATCACAATACAATTCAAGACAAGATGGTGAGGAGGGCCCCGCCCCTGAGGGCTTACAATCTGAAAGGGAGGGGCCAGTGATACATGAGGAGGGAGCTGTGTGGGGGATGAATTGTTTGAGAACGTGACGGTTGAGCGGTTAGGTTGAGGTGGGATCGGCTTCCCTGAAGAGATGAGTCTTACGGGATCGCCTAAAGGCAGTCAGAGTGGGAGATAGACGGACAGGTTGGGGTAAAGAGTTCCACAGAATCGGGGAGACTCTAGAGAAGTCCTGGAGGCGAGCATGGGAGGAGTTGACAAGGGAGCTAGAGAGCAGGAGGTCTTGGGATGAGCGGAGGGGACGGTTAGGGTGACACTTTGAGACCAGGTTGGAGATATATCCGGGGGGCGGAGTTGTGGATGGCTTTGTAAGTCATTGTTAATATTTAGAATTTTATCCTCTGGGCGAGTGGAAGCCAGTGGAGGGATTGGCAGAGGGGGGCGGGGATGGAAGCCAGTGTAGGGATTGGCAGAGGGGGGCGGGGGATGGAGG